CTTCTTTATATACGACATTCATGGTTTTCACATCATCAGAATCTCCATTCCAACAAATTATTATCGTTAAATCTCTTCGACTCGTGACTCTGAAATTTGATTTTTCAAATATTTGATGTGTGTTTGTAATATTTGAAAAAAATATTGTTTTATCATTATATGGCTGCAATAGAAAATAGAGATATTTGTAATCATTTTTAATTAGTTTTGAAATATGTATTTATGTAATACCAAAAAATATATAGTATCAAAATAAAAATTAAAATATTTTGTATTTCAGGACATAAAAAGACGTTACAGAAATTGGCACAATCCAAAATGGAACCTATCAAAATAAATTGTGTAACTGAAAGTTACATATTATTATTAGATGGTGAACTTAATTTTATTAAATGAAAACCTATTTTTATTAAATGAACTCATATTATTATTAACTAGTACGTAGCCCGTGCGATGCACGGGGTAATAGTATAAAGCAATGAAGGAATATTAATTAGTATAAAATAATTTTTAATATTAATATTTAACTTTTATATTTTATTTTACTTTTATGATATATAATCGTTTAATATGACATTATATGGTTATTTAATCTGTTATAAAATAGTTGTCATTTTAGTTTTTTATAATACAATAATTTACATGACAATTCGACAAATGACCTGTTTATTTATTATTTTAATATGGTATATACTTGATCATTGAATAATTGTTTACTTATATTTCTGTGAATTTTAGCATTATTTTTTTTAAACCCGTGAGAGATAAACATAATAATTACAATTTTATTTGTTTTATACTAAATCTGTTTATTTATATTTAGTATGATTAATTTGAGACTAAATTCATATTTTTAAATCAATATTGAATAACAAATTTAAGTTCATTTTGTATATGGAATATTAACTAATAAACTTATTAATATCTTAAAAGTAATTAATTTTTTATTTATACATATAATATGAATAGCAAATTGAAGATTGTTTGTCCCATTTTTGTTACGTTTTTCGTGTCTATTTTCTCGTCCGTTTTCTCCCATTTTGAGTCATTTATGTGGTTTTAGAGTCGTTTTGTCGTTTATTTCGTGTTTCGCGTCTTTGTGAGTATTTCTGTGTTTTTCGTGTGTTTTTTCAGTTTCCTTCGTTTTTCTTTCAATTTTGGTGTGCAGGTCGGAAGCTTTGGGAGGACAAGTTTTCAGGAAAATATGTGCTGGGATTACATAGTTAGATAGAGGGGTTCGTTAGCTACGCGTAGGAAAAAACGGAACTCAATTCCGAGTTCGAATAAGCCCAAACGAGCCCGAGACGTGAAGAAGTGCGAGCTGCCCAGGCCCCGCGCGCGCCCCGCGCCGCGACACCTGCCCTCGCCGCGCCGCGGCAGCACCACGACCCGAACTGCAGCTCCCAGCCTTCAGCGCGCGCCCGTGAAGACCTGCCGCGCCGCGCCACACACAGCCCTCGCACCGTGAAGCACTCCTGCGCCGCGGCCAAGTGCCCTGCCGCGCCGTGTCGTGCATTCCTCACGCCATGGCTGACTTTTCTTATAAATATGTGTACGGGAACTCGATTTATTCATTCTTCCCCTCCTGGGGACGAACCCTAGGCTTGTAAAAACACCACAGAACTCATTTCTTCTCCTTTCCTTCTTCTTCCTCGTTTTCTTCGTTCTTTTCACTCTTCTTTTCCATTTTTTTTCTTCTTCTTCTTCTTAGTTATCAAGGATTAAGCTTTGTACTTTGGGATTCAACACTTGGACTAAAAATAAATTGTAAGTTTCTTTTCTCTTTGAATTAATTCATGAATAATGATTGATTTGGGAGAGATGATTATTGGTGTTGAATTTATTTTACGTAGCTAAATCTGATTGCTAGGGATATGGGATGATTGTTCTTGTTTAACGTGCATTTGTCGAGCTCAAGATTGTTCATGCTTATGTGAGTTGAGTTAATTCAGAATTGATGAATTTGTGCTTGATTGATTAATATAATCGAAGAGTGACACTTCGATCTTGCGATTGGAAACGATTGAATGTTAATTTGTCGAGTTAGGGTTTGTCGATTCTATATGATTAGTTGATTAATCACCTTCTAATTAAATTAATGATTTTTTGAACCGAAAGGGGAGAAGTCGTAGACCTAGGCTTGCATGAGATAGATAATTTCGTAACTGAATAATCTATGGGTTGAGATTGAAATACGTGCTTGTCGATGACCCGTTCCTTGTTACGAAAAGTTATTGGGATTGAGATAATTGGCCTGTGTTGTATGCTCGAGCTTGTTCGTCTATGTTCAATCCCTTGTTACGAAAAGTTATTGGGAGCGAACTGTTAGATGTTTAAGCGAGAGTGTCAATCTCGAACCGAACAATTGATTGCCCGGTTTTGCTAAGAACTTGAATAAATTATCCCCGATTCCCTAGCTTCTCCATCTTTGTTCCATTTATATTTTTAGGTAGATTATTGTTTTTATTTTATTTCTTAGTTATCCAATCTGCTATCTGATTAGAGTGTTTAGGTTTTTATATTTTTTTTGTGTGCTGTCAACACCATTTCTAAATTCCGAACCGTCTTCCTCGTAAGATCGACCCGGGAATCGAATCTTTAGATTCGGTACTCGGTAAAAATAACAATTTGTGCTACAACAAAGATCGTGTGAAATGAAGGTTTTTTTTTTTTTTTTTTCGGAACGATAGAAATATTATATAAAAGCGCACAAAAGTACAAAATTACAACCACAAGTTGAATACAGACAACCAGCAGCTGAATGCAAGCAGCCAACAGCTGAAAAGATTGGGAGGTCGGGATCGAAACCCGCCTAGAACCGACTCCAAGGGGGTAATACTCTAGAAATCCAATAAAATCTCTACGACACTAAAAAACTCCCAAGGGGAGAATAAAAAACAGACAGAAACGACCCTAACAGGGTTATGCCCGAGTGTAGGATCCCAACAGGATAATGAAGTCACACTCGGGCTAACCGAGGCTAACGGCCCAAACCTAAAACACTGACAACACAATACACGAACAAACAACACAACACACAAAACAAAACTACAAACTAAGAAAAACATATGGCCTCCCTCAGCAGAAACATCCGAACAAAACAGCAGACAAAGTCAATTCCGAGGAGAGCTCCGAAGCTCAGATACCTCGCCCGGAAATGAAGGTTAATTTAATATTATATATAAAAAACAGAAAACAAATAAAATTATTATTTAGTTTTTAAAAGGAAATGGCATTAATAATAATAATAATAGTTAAAAATGGAAAAAAAAACATGCAACAATATTAATAATATATTATATTCATATCATATTTGACATACTATACGCAAATTAAATTGGAAGGAATTTATTAGATTTTAATTTGTGGTGTAAAAATAATATTGATTTGGACATTAGAAAATAAATTTAGTCGTGCTATAAAATAATGAGGGAAAGTAAAAACTTAGAAAGGTAAAAGATTTTCTTTTAATTTGTTTTGTAAAAGAAAAAGTAATTTATTTTAAGAGGAACAAATTTGGTTAAGAAAGAAAAAAGGAAAACCACAATTGTAGGGGAAAGTCACTTTTGAAAATATATACGTGTTTTTCCAATAAAGGAAAAACTGATGTGAATATATATTTTTTAATTTCACTTATAATTGGTAAAATTCCTTAAATAGAAAGTCAATGTATTTAATTAAAAAGTCATCTTAATAATTTAGATTTTCCCAACAACTTCTTTTATTTTGTATCTATATTAATATTGATTTTTGTTTGGATCAATGTATGAGATGTGGGTGATTTGTAAATATAATTTGATAATATCCATTAAATACCCTAATTTTTTTGGTTTCAATAGATACTCGGTTTTTAAAATTTGAATGTCTTGTTCTATTCATTTTTAAGAACAATTAATATTTATTTTGATAAAAAACATCTTTTTAAATTCAGATACTTTTGTAACTTATTTATTAAAAATAGTTATTTTTTTAACTGAATCGTACTTGATTGTGATAAATTAATCAATTTAGATTTTTGGATTTATGAAACATTGGAAATAGATAAACTTAAATATCCTCAAAGCCCCTACGAACAAAAATTGCGTTGTTTGATAAGTATGAAATCCCAAGTAGTCCATACATGTAAGGATAATAAAATCATATTTAAAAATAAAACTCAAAGATTTAGGCTATTTTAGAGGGCTATATACACGGAGCGAAATATTTGAATTCACGATGGAAACATTTCTAAACTTTCAGCCGAGATTTTTAATCCTAAAATGATCTAAAATCCACAAATTGTGGCAACATTTAATGTTAACTGATTTTTTACAAAATTAAAATAAAAAAAAAATTACTATTAATGGATTGCAATTAATGTTGATAGTTTTTTATGGCTACTATTTTTGATAAATAGTAATTCTTATTATATATATATAGATATAGATTGTTGGCTGAATAAAATTTATTGAAGTTTGCCAGCAATTATATATACATAGATTTTTCAATCCCAAGTGTGAATCATTTAAATCAAATCCATTTGACACATGTTTTTTTTTTTTTGGTGCATTCCTTTNTCGACATATGTTGATTCTCAATATTGTTGGTACTTTGAAAACATAGAAAACCATTGTGTATTATTTATGACACACATAAATCCACTTGCCTTAAGAATGCATAAAACGTGTGGGATTACTTAATCCAAAGAAGGGTATGGTATGGTCTATCATCATCCATCACACAGCTCTGTCACAGTTAGATCAGGTCAAGCTCCACAACATGTTCTAACTTCTAATCATCATTCCACAACTAATCCAATTATCCAATCCAAAGCCCTTTCTCTAATTCTATGCTAAAAAAAATCTCAAAAGGCATTCCTCAACAAGGAATAAGAACTTCCACAAACAAAGGTACAAAACTTAAGTTCTCATTCCTTTTATCCTTTCCAAGTGTTCTTATTTACACCAAGACATCCCAAAAGTCCAAACTCCAATTTTCATCATATCATAAGAAGACACAAAATGGTTGCAGTCTTCAACAAAGAGCTCCTCAGCTGGTACCTCATCACCCTCAAGCTCAACCAAACAGTCGAAACCGGTCTTCAAAACCCACGTCTTTTTATACACGACGGGACTAAGTCTCTGTTTCTGAACCTCATTGCTCTGGAGCAGTGCCACCTGGACTGCACGAATGGCATCACGTCGTACGTGATATTCATGGACAACTTGATAGACTCCCCTGCTGATGTCAGCTACTTGCATTACTGCGGGATTATCGAGAATTGGTTGGGGAGTGATGCTGAGGTGGCCGACATGTTTAACCACCTGTGTCAGGAGGTGGTTTTCGATATAAACAACAGCTCACTCTCGAGGTTGTCTGAGCAGGTGAATCGGTACTATGAGCACAGGTGGAATGCTTGGAGGGCGAGCTTGAAGAACAAGTATTTTAATAATCCGTGGTCGATTATCTCGTTTTTGGCTGCGGTCGTTTTGCTGGCGTTGACCTTGGCCCAAACGTTTTACGGGATTTATGGTTTTTACAAACCTCATCAGTGAGCATGAGAATCTGCTAAAGGGATTTGTTTTATTTATTATTTTGTTCTGGGAAGAAATTCTTGAGTTGCTGTGTGGGGTGGTTCTTGTGGAGATGTTTTGGTTTTGCAGTTGCAGCACTGTGTGGGTGATTCTTGTTGATTATTTTTCTTTGTTTTTTGCTTTTTTCCCTGGATATTCTTATGGGTAAAGAACAGACATATAAGAGTTACATTACTGATTGAATTGTTTCCCTTTCTAGATCTTGGAGTATACATTTATTTGGAGCAAAAGAGTGAATAAAGTATCTTATCTATTTGTTTTTTTTTCCATTTTATATGCCTGGAGCTTATGTTTATTTTTTTAATTGTCTTACACTGAGTAGTGTGTAAAAAATGTCTTCATGGTGGACATTACACCAAAGTAGACAATATATCATAACAAGTCTCTTCCAGATTGTGTACATAGTGGCATCATCTTTATCATTACCCTGTTTGTAATGTTGGCAAACCAGATGTGATCCTTGAAAACAGTTTCAACACAAGCCCCTTCACAATAGCAAAAACCTGAACTTGAGTTAACGACGAAAGAACGATCAAAATTATCCTATTGTGAAATCAAAAGATCTTATAAAATCCATTTGGTTAGAAAAAGAGCCAGCACGCAGCCTGTATAGAAAATGCTGTTCACTCGTAAAACTAATGATACACTGGCCAGCAGTACAAGTTCTTCCTCCACTATAAAGAGTACTCTAACACGTCAGACAAGAAGCAAGTCCAACCTATGGCCATCAAAAAGATCGGATACGCAAAACAAAGAAAAACGTTCTAAAATCTGTGATTTTTAGACTACGGGAGCAAACTTTCGCCCTCGTTTGAAGGTGCCCTCTTCCCATCGTACCTCTGTAAATAACAAAGGGGAAAAATTAAAAACTGATTAGTTTACCATTTTCAGCAGACATTGAATGTCTGCAAATAATCTTACAACTGTAAAGATGAAATTTCAGATTTACCTGCTTTCCGAAGGAGAAAGGAACATATTTATACTTGATCATGTGTTCTATCTGACGTCTTAGAGTCATCACACACAGCATAATCCAGTAGAAAAGGAGAATTGGCCAGAAGACGGGCACATCAAACATGCTGAAGAACGTCAAGACAAAGGCAATGCAGAAGGCTTTGGTGATTGAGTACCTACATAGGTCACAAGAATCAATTTTTACCAAAGGTAATGAAATTATAATGATACGCACAATGCTTCGTTTGGTTTTGATGGTGATCATTTCATATACCCATATACACAACACATGAAAGAATCTAATAGGGAATATGCTTGGTTTGGTTTTGATGAAAATCGTTTTATGCTATTTAAGAATTTAAAATTACGCTTCTTGTGTCCATTCTCAATGCACTAGGGAAAACTTCAAAGAAAATACTCAAGAAAATCAAGCACTAAAGATCAAGCAAGTATCCTCAACTAACAAAATCATTTGGATAGGCATCACATACATAAGTGGTTTCCAGCAACATATTTCAGTCTCCAAATCAGGGCACTATCAAAAAGGTATATATGCTCCCAAAAGACCCAGTTTTATCAAATGAATTGCAAATTAAACATCCAATTGTTCGTCAGAACTCAATCCGCAGCAGATTTTCATAATCGATAATCCTAACAGGGACAGATTTCAGATCATCATGCCCTTTTTTCCCTTAACATTTGATAACTACAAAGCGCACCAGAATTTGAACTCGGGGAGGCGGCGGACGAAGGGGCGGAACTCGTCGGAGCCCCTGGTCGGCAGGGTGGGGCCACCGGCAAACTCCGGGTCCACCTGCGGCGACAGAAACCCGATCAGGAGGTTGAGGATGTAGATGCCGAGGGCGTAGGAGACCACGTAGAACCCCCCCAGCAGGTACACCCGCACCGCGTACGCCAACGCCACGCAGGCGAACGCGATCCAACGGTGGGAAACGTGCGGCGTCGATTTGTCCAGGAAGTGCTGGTAACGTTGCGAGATCGCGAAGGTCCAGCGCGATACGGCGGTCGACGGAGAATCTCCGACGGCGGCTACGGTGGCCGGGACATCGGCGGCGGCACTCGAACCGCCTGCGCTTGGGTCCATTGAAGGGTGATGTTAATTCCGCAGTTTGGATTATCTCTCGGCCTTTTGATTGCCGATGTTTGGAGCATTACCAGCAATCAGCGGAGCAAGCAAAAGAGAGGCGGAAGTTAATTTCATTCGGGTCCTTCGTATTCTTTAAAATCAAACATCAGTCCCAAGCTGTTGTTTTGTTTCGTGGGGGGCCTGGGGCTATTATTACTTAACCCTATGGCTATTTAAATGACTTATTTACATAGGCCTATGACACGAGAGAGAATTTATACAAGTAATTTCAATAGGGTCCGTCCGACCTAAAAAATAGAGTTAATTATTTATTTGCTATCTCTTTTAATTAACATTATTTGACACATTTTTTAATCAGTGTTGTTTTTTTAGTTAGGACGTTAAACATGAGTCTGTTAGGGCTAGTCTGTAAATTAGTTACTATATTAGCATGTAAATATGCAGACGTTGGATGAGTTTAAGCGAATATGGTATCATGCATTCTTCTAATCTTGATCGCAATGAGTCATCAACGAACAGACTTGTGATGGACGAGTTCAATTACGATCGTCGTGTACTCGCTATTGAGAATCAGGAGTTGGTTGCCAATATAGCTAATGAGCAATGCAATGTTTATGCCTCGATTATGGACTTTGTTTACCTTAACAACAGTCGCATGTTTTTTGTTTATGGTTACGGCAGCACCAATAAACTTATGTTTGGAGGGTGTTGTATTCTACTTTGTCATCCGAGGGCGAAATTGTTTTGAACGTTGCATGCAGTATAACGTCACTTTTGCTGCCCGACAGACATACTGTGCATTCACGATTCAAAATCCCACTAAAACCAACGGAAGGGTCTACATGTGATATTAGTCAGCAAATCCTTTGGTTGAACTCATTATACGATGTCGGTTGATCATTTGGGATGAAGCCCCAATGATGAATAAGTATTGATTCCAAACGGTTAACAACATCTTATGAGCCTTAATGCAAGTAGTGGATCCATCAAGGAGAAATCTCTCATTTGGTGGGAAATCTGTTATATTTGGTGGCGATTTCAAATATATACTCCTCATTGTCCCTAAAGGCAGTCGGAGTAACATAGTGAATGTGACACCATCAATTCATTCAAGTTGTGGCGTAATTGTATCGTTCTGAGACTGGCTCGGAATATTGATTGATAAATAGAAGAAATGTTTTGCCACAGTAAAAAGAAATTCAACTTATAGTAAAAAAAAAATTCTTTTGCTACAGTATACCATTATTATTTAATGTATATTAAATTTTGTACGGTGAAAATTCAATTTTAAAATGGGAGAAAAATGACTAAAAGTGTGCACATCTATACACTAAAAAATTCAATAACGGAAAAAGTCATAAATAGCTCAAACAAAATTTCTTTCGCCACAGTACACCATCATTTAATGTATATTACAATTTTTTATGGTGAGAATTCAATTTTGAAACAGGAGAAAAACGACTGAAAGGGTGTGTACAGCTGTACAAATTCAAAAACCAAAAAACACATAAATAATGGTTAAAAAGAATCAAACAAAATTTGTTTTGCCACAGTAAACCATTATTTAATGTATATTACAAGCTTTTATAGTATAATATCAATTTTAAAACGGAAGAAAAATGATTGAAATGGGGGTAGTAAGGTACACGAAAAAATTCAAAAAGGAAAAAACTATACATTACAAACTTTTATGATAAAATTTTAATTTGGAACGGAAGAAGAACGACTGAAAGGGTGTGTACTAAGGAACACGAAAAAATTCATAAATAATGTTTAAAAAGTCTGAAATGAAATTTCTTTTTCTATAATAAACCATTATTTAATGTATAGTACAAACTTTTATGTTCAGAAATTCAATTGAAAATAGAAAAAAAAAAGACTGAAAATACATGTACTAAGGTAAACGAAAAAAATCAAAAAGGAAAAACTCGCGAATAATGGTTAAACAGATTTTAATTCTTTTGCCACAATACTCCATTATTTAATATATATTACAAACTTTGATGGTAGAAATTCAATTCTGAAACGGAAGAAAAACGACTTAAGGAGCGTGTACATTAAAAAACGTAAGCACTCGTATATAATATTTAAAAAGGCTCATACATATNAAAGTAGACTATTAATTAAATTGAGCAACAACTTTTTGCTTGGCTCGTCGAAAGACGACGACAACAAGTGGCAAATCTGTCGAGCACCTCGGAGACGGCCGATTGCGGATGCATAGTTGGTGAGGGTCTCACGGTTGCGACTGCATAGTTGGTGAGGGTCTCAAATGGGATGCACGGTTCTCGGACGGGAGAAAGTTGATATAACAGCTTTCCCGTCAACAAAGGTTAAAGTGATGTATTAAACTGTTAAGGTCTAAAGGATGATTTGACTTCTGTTTGATGAGTCAGACTTCTGTAAAAAAACGTCACATCAACTTTCTGTCAACGGACGTTAAATCCGTGTATCGGATTGCCAAAAAATCTAAGGTAATGTATTAAATTGCCAAGGTGTAAAGATTGTGATTACATGGCCAATCGAGTAAATGTTTTGTATTTTCCTACTAATTGGCCTTTCTTTTTCTTTAAAGCACACACTAACACGACACAAAATTCTAGTTTATACAAGAGAAAATTAAAAGTAAAAATATTATTACAGTTTACTGACTACTGGAGAAATTATCTCAGAAAATGCTTGCCTTGTACGCACGCATAAAGCTCGCATTACGGATAGCAGAAAAGGGAAATGAATTTATCAGGAAAACTACTTATAACACCTGGAAGAAAATGTAGCAACGATTAAGAGCCCTAACAAACTCTACCAAACCACCAAACAAAAAATGAACTAAGGCCGAAAAACAATACTTCACGCTAACAAGATAGGAATTCGATCCGAGGAAAAGAAAAACAGATATCTCAAGTATGTATCAATTGGCTATTGTATGCGTAAACACAAGCCTTTTCCCTGCATTCACCCAGGGGTCTTTTTGACTTCATGGCTCTTTGCTTTGAATATTGGAAGACACCAAGAATTCACATAGTGGTGTAGAGTTTAAGATTATCGCCTGATGGAAAAGGAGAAAATAAAAACTTCTAATTATCCCCAACACGCCTAGCAGTAACATGCTCGTCCAGCACTTTTGAACTGTGCTTCTTTTTGCTTCTTGAGCTGCGTTTTCTTCTCGAGCCACTTTTTGCTGGGCGTTTCTCAGTAACCTCAGGCATAACAGCCACTTTATCGACAGTGGATGGAAGTTCGGGTGGAGTATCTGGCCATGGGGTGTGTTTTGCTGGCACAGTGATTTCAAGTGGAGGGTCGATTATCCATCTGTTTGGGATAGCAAGGAAGCTGAGTAACCATATTAATATAAAAAATGCTCATAAAAATGAAAAGAATAATTTTTGCACCAATTAGCACATTCTAAAACAGTATCGAGCTGAAAACGACTGTTTATATAAGGGATATTGAAAAANAGGCAGAGGGTGAGGAAGATAATTGTAAACCCTTGAGAAAATAAAACTATGACAACAGAATCAACCCTCAACGGATAATTTTTATCTTTTAACTATTGCAACCTCAGGGGTTGTTTCTGCATCTATCCCCATCTTTAGTTTGTCCCAACAAAGACTACAATAATTTGGTTAAGCTAGCTTCTCGAAAAAAAAAATAAAATTGATTAAGCAAGTAAGCAGCTTTGTTTAGCTCTTATTCCTCACTTAAAAGGGATACATGCATCTCTAGGTTTCAAGATCAAACATTTTTAAGGCATAGCCAGCCTATCAAGGCCAGAAACTATTTCATTTCATAGAATAAGAGAGGTATACGTAGGAAAACTCAGAAGAAGCTAACATACTTGAGGTGATCTACCCCCACAAACCAACGGAAGTATTAGCGGTCTATGTTTAACTTCAGATTAACCATGAAAAGCTGAGTTATGGTTACATTCACACACACTCTTTCCATTTGAGTATGAGAACAATTAACTAATGTGACACAGGATAGTAAGCTTCCCTCACTGCATGTAAAATTAACTTTTGATCAAAACAGTTCAAAAGATGTTTTCGAGTCTAGGCTTGATAAAGGCTCCTTTTACGTCAAAAATCACTCCTTAAGTGAAACTAAACTTGTCACTGCAATACAGCATTAACAATGCTATGTGAGGACACAAGCATAGCTTTGCCTAGGCTGAATTTGTGCTGCAAAACTAATGGTTATTTCCAAAATATAAATTGAAGAGGTGACTCCTATCCACCTCTGCTTGGTTCTAAAAAGTGTGATCAGTAATCAATTTCGAGCTATGTTACTATGATAATGTGTTTATAGAAATACATGCACAAACCACTTTGAAAACTGATAAAACTGTGAATGGCAATTCCAATTTAATATACCTTCTTAAGAATGTGATGTGTTAGCTACTCTATCACTACTTATGTTACGAACTACAATCCCTATATCCATCTCAAAATCAAGAAACTGATTTATCTCATTCTGCCATCTTCTGACAAATCCTATCCATTGCTTAGGCATTCATCGACACCCATACCAAATCTCTGAATCCAATAACTTAGGGATTCAATTGACTAGTGATTAGGAAAAGTTTTAGGATGGAAGTTCTGTAAAATGTGTGTATTGGATGAGAAATGCTTTGGTAAGAATAGAGATAGTGTTTGGTTGGCAATTGTTGGATGTTTTTAGGGGAGTTATTTTGGGTGAGGGGTAGTAACCAAACAAAACCTAGGTTTCTTGTTGCTGAAGGGATAAGTTGATGATATATAGCTTAAGGAGTTTTATCACCCTATCAGCAAACTACAATTAACTGATTAAGCTGAAAGTTGACTCTGTGTCCCAGTCATTATATGGGTTTCATACAAAAAAAATTCAAATGATTGGCAAGTATGAGGTCTTTTAGATGCTAAACAAAATCAACAGTACACCATACTATACATATTAAGAAGTTTCCCATTGTGAATTTGTGTATTTCCAATATCCAAGCATCTGCTTATATTCATTCAAGAGTGTTGAATGGACGCGTTCCTATATTTCAGGATCAACAGCCACAAATTCATCCACTGAAGAAAGATGCTGAAAGTTATCTTCGAGAAAAGCAATTAGTGAACATAAAAATCAGGACCCACACCAAAGCTATCAGCAAACCTAAAGAATTACTGTTGACCAAAATGCTTAGTCATTCCACAGAAAAATTGTTGACTAAATAATTTCATACCAACAATTCTGGTCTAAATTTCAAATTACGCATACCTTGGCGGAAATTTGCTATCTGCCCTTGCCTCCACACGCAACCACCATAGCAGAACTTTGCGGCCACAGCTGCCAAGAGGCTCCACCACTGAAGTATCCTTCAACAGAGATAACGGGCTTTCCAAATCCTCCCCATCCCTAACAACCTCTTCCCAATCCTTAAGCCAAACTGGCCTTTCCTCTGTATCTTCCCACACCAACCTCGAGTTAAATACAAATCCAGCCCACTCAAGCTTCCTCGGCAACACAACTGCATTGTCACCAATATACCTTGCCCTCCTCTCCACAAAAGGCAGCGTATCAAAAGTGTGCCAGCCAATCAATTGGTTTGAAGAGTTGCAAGCCGGGCCTTGAATTGGTAACAATGATTTTTTCTTTTCATCTTTTCCATTTTCATCTATTCGATCTACGGGCAATTCTACTTCTTCCGAACTACCCACTTGCGCAAGAATTCCAACCGAAACCGCACCCACCCATTTCACATTCTGAATCTCATCAAACAACTCGAGACGATGCATGTTATTGTCATCGGCAAACATCACAATCCCGTCTAATCTTTTATCTCTAACTACCCTGCAAGTCCCAAAACATCTCAAAACATGAGAATTAGACACAACTAACGAACTATTACAAGTATAGTTGGGAAAATACAAATGCAAAGATACCTTAAAGCGTGGAGCCTCATCCTCGATTCAAGTTTATGCCGATCATCCCACAGTACAGGCATTTTCCCATCGAATCCGATGTGAATAGTTTTCAATCCCGACTTTGCAATAAGCGAGGCAGTCTCATTGGTGGGGCCGCCAGCTTCCACCACGATCCAGATGAGATCATAGGGCACATTCATCAAAGAATGCATCACGCCAGTGAGATGCAGAGTCTGGAAAGTTCGAACGTAAGTCGGTGTAACAGCAATCACAGTTCTGGGATTCTTAACCCCGTACTGAGACCTCTGCTCCATCTGAACCCGCTCGATTATCCGGTGAGCCTTCATCACCTCGGCCGGATCAGGATGCGGCCATGGCCGGATCAGTATCCCGTGCCTCCCGACCACCACCCTGCTCCCGCCGCCGCCACTGCCGCTAATTTCAGAGAAATTCCTCTCCGGTGTGGAGGAGGAATGCACAGTCGTATGGAAAGCGGAGTATATGCTAGTGTTGGCGGAGGGGGAAGAGGAAGTGGAGAACAGGAGGAAGAAGACGATCCGAGAGAATCGAAATCCGAGAACCAAGCTAATCAGGCAGCACAGACCGTGGACGATCATCCAGAATATCGTCGCCGGAGATTTGATTGCACCGTCGACAGTGGCGTCTAGAGGCGACGACGCGCTCCGGAAGCTGTTGCTCCGGCGGACTTGCTGCTGCAGCGCCGTCAGCTGCTTCATTTTCAGACCCTTTTTTTCTCCCAACTTCTCTCTCTCACACACACTCACACACACAACTCCGGCGACAACCCAGCAACTGCTGTTTGCACCCAAATCTGCAAATTGAGAGAGAAACAGTAGCTTCAAAGAAATAATGGAGGAGGGTTTGAGTTGGCTGATGGGTGTTGGGTGGGAGAAAGCCGCGTTTAATTGAGAAGATTTCTTTGAGTTCACGAATCAATTGTTAGCTGTTGTCAGCTTCCATTTCTATTTCACCATCTGCTTTTTTTCCCGTTCTTCTGCAAATAATAATAAATCGAATAAAAAAACACAAAAGGTGGGGGTGCGGATACGAAATTTAGATAGTTAAAGGGTGAAAAATAAATAAGTGAAACTTTCGGACATGGACGGAGAGAATCTAGGGTCAATATCGGTCACTGGAGTACACGTGTCGCGTAGGCAAGAGACGTGATGAAGGGTACTATTGGAATTTACTGTTGGTTTATAGACAGTGGAGCTTT